GCAGGAATGCACTGTGACTTGCTCAGAGAAATGCAATGTTTTGGGTTCAGTCCTATGGCACCCAAAAGGAAGAGTCCCTAAGGTTGAGGGCCTAGTTTCTTCTGGTGTCCCAGGCCAAGGTCATCTGGAGAGCCTAGGAGATCATTGGGGGAGCTCCTCAAGGAGCTGCTGACCTAGGTCTTGGATTCAGGAGGTGACTCTGGCCTGGCCACCTGCCTGTCTTCTCTCCCCTCCTCTGCTCCTCTTAGTTCCCAGCATGGACTCCCACCTGTGCTAGCTCTCCCAAGAATTTCCTGCTGATGAGCTGTTACCCAAGTCTGAAGACTAAGTAGGAAAAAAAGGCATTTTTTCCTACCAAAAGCTGCAAGAGGAATAAGAAACAGAAAACTCTACCTCCAACAAAAGTAACAAACAACCATAACCTGAAATACCAGAAACAAAGAATGATTTTCAACTCCAGGATCAAAATCAGTCCAGGTTGGAGGATCTTAGGAGGGGACACTTGTCAGAGTCCAGAGGGCCAAAGCAAATAATGCTCTGTTGGACTGGTTAGCAAAGCCAACATATGCGGAGAAGGTTAGGGACTGTCTTTGAACCCTGTGGGATGCCAAGGAGCTATTAGGGAGGTAGAGTTACCCTAGGAATTGAGCAGGGTGTGGCATGGGAGGGGAAAACTATGGGTTGCCAGCAGTTCAGCCAATAGAAAAATGAAGGAAATTCAAAATAGGTATAATTAGTATCTCTGGAGAAGAAAACAAAACAAATGGAACACAAAAATATTCAAAGATATAATAGAAGAAAAATTTCCCCCTGAAATAAAAGAACACATAAATCTTTTGTTTGAAAGGCCAGACTGAATTTTAGGAAAAATAGATATATTCAACCCAAAAACATATCTTGGCAATGTCACTGAATTCCAAAGAGAAAAAAATAGTTCTATTGCATCCAGAGGGGAAAAGTTAACATATCTATATAAGGGGAGAAAAAGGCTGGCCCAGAGCTCTCCACAGTAATAATCAATGATAGAAAACAGAGGGGCTGTATCTGCAAAGTCCTCAGGGAGATAGAGTGTAAACCCAGAATTTATATCCAGCCAACCAGCTGTTCAAGTTAATTTATTATTATTATTTTTTTGAGATGGAGTTTTTGCTCTCTTGCCTAGGCTGGAGTGCAGTGGTGCGATCTTGGCTCACTGCAACCTCTGCCTTCTGGGTTCAAGCGATTCTCTTGCCTCAGCCTCCCGAGTAGCTGGGGCTACAGGCATGTGCCACCACACCTGGCTATTTTTTTTTTTTTGTATTTTTAGTAGAGACGGGGTTTCACTATGTAGGCCAGACTGGTCTCAAACTCCTGACCTCAAGTGATCCACCATCTTGGCCTCCCAAAGTGCTGGGACTACAGGCATGAGCCACTGTGCCCAGCTGTAGTTCAAGTGTAAAGGTCATAAAGATATATTCAGACATTCAAGTACTTAGAAAACATGGTTTCTCTGAGTTATTTTTTGTTGTTGTTGATGTTTCTGAGACAGAGTCTCGCTCTGTTGCCCAGGCTGGAGTGCAATGGCATGACCTCGGCTCACTGCAACCTCCACCTCCTGGGTTCAAGTGATTCTCCTGCCTCAGCCTCCTGAGTAGCTGGGATTACAGGCACACACCATCACTACCAGCTAATTTTTGTATTTTTAGTAGAGACAGGGTTTCATCATGTTGATTAGGCTGGTCTCAAACTCTGTGACCTCGTGATCTGCCCACCTCAGCCTCCCAAAGTGCTGGGATTACGGGCGTGAGACACCATGCCTGACCATGAGTTCTTTTTAAATGGATGAATGAATAAAAACTTCTAGAAATAAATTCCATAAGTCATAGATGGAGATGCTGTGATTAGAGGACTAGTAACCTCGTCACCGCTTACTTGCCCTCAGATGAGCCATCAATCACACAATCCTTGTCACCGGCCCCATGGTGCAAAAGACATTCAGTTTTTAAAGTGACACTGAACTCATGGCATTTGACACTTCAGCTGACTGGTGGCCACATATAGCTCTTGCTACTCTGGAAAAGCCATGGGATAGAGGTGAAAATGGGACTGAGGGGAAGATCAAAGGTAAACACTACATAAACCCCTACTGTATACCCACTGGTCTCTTTATAGAATTTGGCCTGAGGCGGGCCTGGTGCAATTCTTAGTGAGACATTACAAGAATAGAGGCAGCTCTAAGGGTTTGGTTTTGTTCTACATCATGGATGACAAGCCCATGGCCTTTATGCTTAATCGTTGGTAATAATCTTTCCCATGAATCCTTCCCAAACCTACCTCCCAGGCAGTCACTACCAATTTATTGGAGTTTTAGGAAAGTTACCCTTATTTCCCATCCTTGCTCTGGATTCTGGAGACTAGCTGGTCCTGGAGGAAACTAAAAGCAAATCAATTTGCCCTGAGAGATGTTTCAATCCAGTAGACCCACTCAGGCCCCAAGGCTGGGGAATGCGGTTTGCTCTTGTGGCAGTTACTAGCTTCCCCCTTGCTTCCAGACTCCTGGTGGTCTCTCCCTCTGATGTTGGCAGCTTCCCCTAGCCTGTGTTTAATGGCAGCAAGTCTTGCTCCTACCAGTTCCTCTTGTCACATTCTCCCCTTGTTGACCCACCTGAAGTCTCCTGCCAGACTCTTGCTCTCAGCAACAGCACAGCGGTCAGAGCTCACTGCCTTAAACATGTTCTCTTCTGGCCCAAACAGACTGACCTGGAGCAAATTGAGCCTTGTTGTTTGGCCACAGGAGTCCCACCTGCCAGACATTTCTGAGTGGAAAGGATAAGTGGAGGTGGCAGGTACTTGGTAACACTGATGGTTCCTTCATGTGGGTTTGTCTGCTCAGGAGTGTTGAGTGCGTGCCTGCCTAAGTGCATCAGTATATACCTACCATCACCAGGCCGCCATGGTGCTTTGTCCCCAGCTCTACCAAGAAGCTAGCTCTCTGGGTTACTCTGAGTTCTTTTGGGTCTTGGAAACTTACCATCAGAGTGGAGCCACAACTTAAAAGGGCTGGGAAGTTAGGAAGAGAAGGTGTCAGCCTCAAGGGACCTCTGCCTATGGCATGACCTCTTACCCTGCCCAGGAACCCTGGGTGTGGCACTTTCCCTCCCTAGCCAGCAGACAGCATCTTAGAGGCTCTGAGCCCCTGATGCCATCTTCTTGGGCAGTCACAGGCTCTTTCTGTAGCTGTGGCAGAGTGTTACGGAGATCCTCACCCTTGTGCTGTTGCCATCAGCACTGCAAATTCTTTTTGGCCTATAGGCAATAAGGAAGCTGATGAGGTCAGCCCTTGATGGCCTGGGGCCTCCCTGTCACTGACCTAACTATACTTTCCATAGAACTCAGTGGGAGGTAGGACTGAATCTGGTCTGGGAAACCAACAGATACTATTTTAAGGACTGGAGATTGAGAGTTTAAGAATTTTCCTAGCAGTGGCCTCAACTAGGACACATATGCCAACGGATTGAAGAAGAGAGAGGGACAAGGGAGAACATATGGAAATTCCTATTTACATTTATTGTCTATCTCATCTTTTAAAACTTTTTCATTTGGGGAGGTGGGTTTTATAAAAAATATGCATGCATATAATTGGTAGATGAATATTCATATGTTGGAGAGGCTGAAACATGTTTTATTGATAGAGATACATGATTGAAAAGGCAGGAGGCCACTGGCCTGAAGGCTGAGCAGGCCAGGACATGTATATATTTTTATGCAAAAACTGGAATTTTTTCCAAGCCTAAACTTTCTGGTTTCTCATATCCATTCCTGAGAGAGGAGCTCCAGGATGCAGGGCCTGGCCCCAGCACCCACTGCTCTACAGCTTCTACTTAGCTTCCTGGGTGCACAGGGACCAGTGGGGTGGCCCAGTAGTCCTTCCAGCCCTGGGCTCAAAGGACAGGGTCCTCCCACAGCACCTGCCCATCTCTAATTGCCCATTACAGAAAGGTCAGCCATGAATTTATCAAAACCTCGTTTGAAGCTGTGGGACTCTTCTGGCTGCTCTGACTTAGAAAAACAGTTTCCTTAAGTTCACTCCCCTCCTGGTGAACAAAGACAGCCGTTTATTAATGGGAAACACTTCTCTTTCAAATGCTCAACTGGAGGCCGTGGGGGGCATGCTTTAGAATGCTGCCTTGTGGGGACCAGCTTGGTTTTCCCTCTGGCGCCTGCACTGGCTCCATGCCTGGCTGCTTTTCCTTCCGGTCTGAATCAGCCCGGGCAGGCCCTCCTTCCCACTGTGCCCCAGGGCAGCCACATCTCTCCCTGGTGGTTCTCCTATTATGGATGTAACTGGTGTCTGGAGCATTTTTTAGTCACTGACAATTGCTGGCCTTGTGCCTTTCTGTTGGCTTTTGACAGAGAGGACCCCAGCCTCTGACCAGTGCAGTCAGGATTATCTCTCCCAGCAGTGGTCATGGGATCGGGCAGGAGGCCACAGGGTACTAAGGATTACTGGGGGAGAGGCTAACTGAATTGGCTCTGTTCCCCTTCCCAGCAGCCCTTCTGTGGCCCGGGGGCTCCTTCCTGCCTTGGCAAACAGCTCTGAGTTAAGATTGTTTCTGATCAGTTAATAGCCTTAAATGCTGAAAGGAAGGAAAACTGGTAGATATCTGACTGTTTCTACATTCTCTACCTTTATTGGCCTCCTTAAAAATATATTTGTCTCCATACCTAATGCACGTGGGGCTTAAAACCTAGATCATGGGTTGATGGGTGCAGCAAACCACCGTGGCACATGTTTACCTATGTAACAAACCTGCACATTCTGCACATGTATCCAAGAACTTAAAGTAAAATAAAAAATTAAAAAATATATATATTTATCCCTAGATAAGGCATTTCTAGTCTTCCCTGATTGGCTCCTAGCCACTTCTTCATCTCTCTGCTGTTTCCCTCCTGCACCTGCCTGTCTCCTGTGTCTGCTTTATGGTGGTGCCCCTCTCCCCTCCTTGCTTACCCACCCTTACCCTGGCCCTCCCCAGCAATAGGGCTCCCATGGCTGCTGGGAGGAGCACTGGCCTCAAAGGGCCTCTCTGCTGATGAGGCCACATCCATGACACCAGGTCTTCCTTGGGGTGGGCTGGGTCCTGTCTGTGGACACCTCTCTCTCTTTTTCCTCATTCCCTTCTTTCCCCTGCCCAGCAGCCATATTTTGGTGGAGGCCTTTGTTTGTGTCTCTTGAGAAGAGCCTTCCAGAGGGCTCACCTCTTCCCTCCTGAGGAGGCCTTGGATGTGGCTCCCCTGGGACTTGTGTTCAGGTGTGTGGCACAGATAGTCATGACCCCTGAAGCCCCTGCCATGGTGGGCCCTTGTGTTCAGCTGGAGAAGGAACTGGCCCCTCCCAAGCTGGATTGGTTTGGGACAGGGCTTGGGCATTTATGGTGTGTGGCCCTCATGGGTGTAGCCTTTCTTCCTGTGACTTCTTGGCCTTCATATTATGTAGACTCATCATGGCACGGGGCATTGTTGAGTGCTCCTCCTCAGAGCAACTCCTCTAACCTGTGGGGTCATTCTCTTTTTTTCTCCTTTCTCTGACTTCTCTGGTTCTGACATCTCCTCTACTCCCATGAACATTGGTCCTCCCCACAAAGCTTTCTTGGACCATTGCTCTACGGGTGATTTCAGCCTGAGAATTGTCTGTGAACAAGATCTTTAGCTCTCCCAGATAAAAATATCTACACTTATCTGAATTGAACCCAAGACGTGACCCATCTCTTAATGTCTCTTAGCCCTACTCCCACCTCAACACAACCAAATCCAAACTTGCGATTTTGCGATTTCACTTTCCATTTCTCACCCACTAATTGACTTATCTCCCTGGATTCCCCATTTCAATGAAAAGGAACACTCCTCCCTGGACCCAAAGCCAGAATACCTGCTTCTGTACCTTCCCTTCCTCTCACCACACGGACTATCTCCTGGGCCAGTGCCTTATTCTCACTGGTTTCCCTACCTCATCATCTTCTCCTTGAACAGAGCCTAAACATTCCCCTATGTGAAAACCTTACAGGCCCTGCTCATTTTAGCTTTTAGCTTCCCAATTAGCTCAGGTAGTTCAACACACACTATCATCACAACACCGTTGCTGGGAGCTGTTCTAGGTACTGGGAGCAGCAATGACTTGTGTCTTCCATGCTTGCCCTACACAGCTACTCAGACTGAGCGTGCTCTGCTGTGCCTTTGGGCCTTTGTGCGTGCTGTTGCCTCTGCCTAGCGTGCCTTGTTACCTTGGCATGAACAGCCCATCCTTTAAGACCCAGTTTAGATGTCTTCTCATCTTCAAAGACTTCTGCTTCTGCCCACTACTGGACAATGCAGCAGTGCGTCTTGCAGGGATTTGTTTGCATATCTGTTTCTACTCTAGACCAGAGGCTCTTGGAGGACTGGACTCCTATATGAATCATTTAAAAAAAATTTATTTTAGGCCGGGCGCAGTGGCTCACACCTGAAATCCTAGCATTTTGGGAGGATGAGACAGGAGGATCACTTGAGGTCAGGAGTTCGAGACCAGCCTGGCCAACATGGTGAAACCCCACCTCTACTAAAAATACAAAAATTAGCCAGGCATTGTGGCACATGCCTGTAGTCCCAGCTACCCTGTGTCTGCTTTACGGTGGTGCTCCTTTCCCGTCCTTGCTTACCCACCCTTACCCTGGCTCTCCCTAGCAGTAGGGCTCCCATGGCTACTGGGAGGAGCACTGGCCTCAAGGGGCCTCTCTGCTGATGAGGCCACATCCATGAGACCAGGAGAATCGCTGGAGCCTGGGAGGCAGAGTCTGCAGTGAGCCGAGATCGCGCAACTGCACTCCAGCCTCGGCAACAGAGTGAGGCTCCATCTCGAAAAAACAAAAATTAATCTAATTGAATACTAAATAACTGTTTATAAAGAATATAAGAATATTTATAAAACATATATAAGATGTGAAGAATAACAATATGATGAACACTTGTGGACCCATCTTCCATTGAAGAGATATAATTCCTTTATACTCTCAATACCTATTATAGGGCCTGGAACTAATCAGGGGTCAGTAAATGTGAATGCCTAAATGAGTGAATATCTATTGTTGGAGTCGTTTTCTGTATGAGCCTCTCAGTGTTGCTAGGCAAGTCCCAGGTGTCATGGCCCTAGCCCAGCGCCACTCTGTGGGCTCATTCTACTGTTCACACATTGTTCTGGTCACTGTGCATGTGCTTATTGAGTGTCCACTCAATGCCAAGCGTGGCACTGGGTCGTAAGGATATAGTGGGGGGGCAAAATGGTGAGATCTCTTCCCAGGGAGCTTCTGCGTAAGCAGCTTTTCAGAAAAAAGTAATCCAAAGAACCCAAACTATAATGCTATGAGAAGCCTTTTATAACACGTGAATGGGCTGCGGCCCCCTCTCCAGGCTGTGCAAGAGAGAAATGTAGCCATTTCTACTGTACTTGTGTTGCCCAATACGTAGCAGGCAATCTATATACACAGAGACCCCCTCTACAGCTACACAGCGCTCCCCTAGAAAGGCAGTATGGGACGTGGTTAAGGACATAGACTGGTAGCCTGGATATTGGAATCCCAGCTCCACCATTTGCAAGTCATGATGGCTTTGCATGTTACTTAACTTTCATGTGTGGCAGTTTTCTCATCTGTAAAATGGGCAAAATAGATCCTACCCAGTGAATTTGCTGTGAGGCTTAAAGCAGTTACTATATGACAGGTGGCTCATGGTGAGGGTTCGATCAGCGTTACCACGATTATTGTCAGCAGAGCCTTCTACGGTATGGCTGGCGGTGTCACCAGCAGCTGCAGGGAGGATGCCAAGTATTGTTCCTGAAGTTCTCTCCTGCATGAAGTCAGACCCAGAGAAGGGCCAAGTGCCATGCCAGGTACTTGCCGTGTTTCCCTAGCTTTAAAACTTTGGGGCCACATTTTACTGCCCTGAGTCACTTAGTGCCTACAGTCCACCCATTCAGGAAATACACATTGAACATCCAGTTTGCACCAGGCACAATGGTAGGCCCTGGGAGAAAGCTGTGAAGAAAGCACATGGAGGCCATGCACACACAGAGCTGGCAGTTTAATGCAGGGATCCCAGAGGATATAAAAAACAGTACATTTGTTATATGATGGGTCAGAAGGTGCTCAGTGCCACAGAGAACAAAGAGGCAGGGAGACAAGCACAGTTTTAAATAGTCAGGGTAAGTGTCCCTGAAAGGATGCCACCAGAGCAAAGGCTTGAGAGAGAGCAAGTGTCCGCAGAAAGAACAGCAAATCCAATGGCCAAATGCACATGGCAGGAGTGGGCCTGGCATACAGAAGTGGAATCAGGGAGATGGTAATCAGAGATGAAGCCAGAGGGAAAGGGGCCAAATCTCATGGGGCCTCATGGGCTATTGTAAGACTTTTGACTTTCCCTTTGGGAGGGAAAGGAAGCCAGTGGAGAGTTTAAACAAAGCAGAGAAGTGGCCTGATTTGTGTATTTAAACCCTTATTCTGGGGCCGGGCGTGGTGGCTCACGTCTGTAATCCTAGCACTTTGGGAGGCCGAGGGTGGCAGATCACTTGAGGTAGGAGTTCGAGAACAGCCTGGCCAACATGGCAAAACCCCGACTCTACTAAAAATACAAAAAATAAGCCAAATGTGCTGGTGCGCACTGGTAGTCCCAGATACATTGCAGTGCATCCAGATTGTACCACTGCACTCCAGCCTGGGCAAAAGAAGGAGACTCTCTCAAAAACAAACAAAACAAAAAAAGCCTTATCCTGGCAACTGAGAATGGCTCAAACCAAGTAGGATGAGGAGGAGGGAGGAGATAGTAGTGGCCAGCTTCAGAAACCAACAAGATTTACTGCTGGATTGACTTAGGATGAGAGAGGAAGGGAGGCAGAGATGGCACCAACAGGGAGAGTAGGAGGCGCACATTTAGGGGAAGATCAGGGGCTCAGCTTGGGTATGTCAAGGTGGAGATGCCTACAGGGCATCTCTGTGAAGATGTGGAGTTGGCAGTTAGACAGGTGAAGAGTTCAGAGCAGAGTTCTGGGCCAGAGATAGACAGTTGGTGGATATCAATGGAAAGTGGATTTAAAGCTCTGAGACTGGGTAACTCTTGAGACTTGGGGATTGTGAATACTCAGAGAAACAAATTTGTATAAAGACTGAGCCCCAGGTCTCTCCAGTGTAAGAAGTGGGGTTCTGGGGTTGGCAGATGAGAAAGAACCTGCAAAAGAGATTAGAAAAGTGTGGCCAGGCAGGGAAGGTGTGACACGTCAGGGGGAGGTAATTCAGGAGAAGGTGGTATTCCTGAAGACAAGTAGAGAACTTATTTCAGGCAGGAGGGAGTGATCACCAAGGATCAAGTGCTGCTGATGGTCAAGTGAGATGAGGAACTGAGATGTGACTGTTAGATTTGACGATGTGGAGGTCCCTACTGACTGTGACCTGAGCAATGTCTATGGAGTGATGGGCAAAAGCCAGGTTGGAGGGGTGGGTTGAGAGGGAGAGAGGAGAGGAGTGGGAGGTAGTGAGTGGAGGCAGCTTCTTTTATTATTTATTTATTTATTTTAGAGACAGAATATTGTTCTGTTGCTCAGGCTGGCGTGCAGCGGTGTGGTCCTAGCCCACTGTAACCTTGATCTCCTGGGCTCAAGAGATCCTCCTGCCTCTGTCTCCCAATATGGAATTACAGGTGCAAGTCACCTTGCCAGGCAAGTGGAGATAATTATTTTAAGGAGTTTTGCTGTGAAGAAGAGCAGAGAAGTGGGGCAGTAGCTGAAGGAGTAGTGGAGCAAAGTGCTGCTGCTGCTTCTCTTTTTTTTTTGGATGGGAGAAGCTTGTTTGTATGATAATTGAAATGATCCAATAGAGAGGAGGAAATGGATGATTGGATCATGAGGGAGAGGGGAGAATTTGAGAAGGTTAGAAGTGGGCCTTGGGATCAGGAGGCAGGTGAACACTGGGGACAGGAGTAGGGAGGCTGAGGTTGTGCAGGTTCCCTCTGGTGGGTCCTACTTTTTCGTGAGATGGTCAGCAGGTCATCAGTGGCAGTGAAGAGACAGAACGAGGTGCTGGGAGGCT